ATTTTTACGTGTGTGTGTGTGTGTGTGTGTGTGTGTGTGTGTGTGTGTGTGCGTGCGTGCGCACCATATTGTGAAAATGTGGATGTGCATGCATGTAGGGCCAGATGTAGACACTGGGTATCTTTGGTTGTTTTGTTTTGTTTTGTTTTAAGACAGGGTTTCCTGGCTCTCCTGGAACTCACTCTGTAGACCAGGCTGTCCTGGAACTGAAAGAGATCCTTCTGCCTCTGCCTCCCGAGTGCTGGGATTAAAGGTGTGTGTCACCACTGCCCACCTTGACACTGGGCACCTACTTTATTGCTTTCCACTTTATTTTTGAGACAGGGTCTCTCACTGAATCCAGCTCTCACTAATTGGCTGAACTGGCTGGCCAGCAAGCTCCAGGGAAATGCCTGTCTCTACTTCCTCTAGCGCTAGGGTTACAGACACAGGCCACAAGGTCCAGCTTTTGCATGGTGCTGGGGGTCCAAATTCAAGATTCTCATGCTTGCACTTTGCCAACAGAGTTACCTACCTAACTCTATAATGCAATTGTTCTGTTTATCTTGTTCTCTGTCTCTCTCTTTGTTTTTTGTTTTTTCATCCTGGCTAGTCTGGTACTCTTTATGTAGCTGAGGGTGGCCTCAAATTCGGGAGTGTCCTCCTTCAATTTTTCAATTATCACCACATCCAGCTATTCAGATACTACTTTAAGATTAGAATTCACTTTAAAATTCCACATGCCTGTGAAAAAGTTAAAGCATTGAATCATAAATACTTAAGAGAATTTAGGCTTGAAAATCCAATTCCAATGACTATTTCAGTCATATCATTATTTAATTTACACTGTGATTACTATTTTTCTAATAAAATAGATACTGATTCCTAAGTAGAAAAATAGGTAACTTGCATAGATGTCTTTTCTTAACAAATTTACTATTTTTTGTCTCCTTTCTATAATGTAAACATAGCTTGAATTGATTCTTAATAATAATAATAATAATACATTATCAATTTACAAGAATAAGTTACACTTGAGAAACAGGCAGGCTGTTCTCTGAGTTCAAGGCCAGCCTGGTCTACAGATAGAGTTCCAGAACAGCCAGGGATACACAGAGAAAATCTGCTTTGAAAAACAAAACAAAGAATAAATTAATTTGATTTTAGTTAACCTGGAGTTAACCTCCTTCCTTTCACAAACAACTGTATTATGGTTTTTGAGTTTATTCTTCTTCAAAAGTCAAGATTCTGAATTATTGGGTTCATTTAGGAAAATTTTACTTATCTAAAATTTTCAACCTTCTTTGTTGAGTACATATTATTTTTTAAAAGATTTTATTTATTTTTCATGTATACAACATTCTGCTTCCATGTATATCTGCACACCAGAAGAGGGCACCAGATCTTATAACCGATGGTCGTGAGCCACCATGTGGTTGCTAGGAATTGAACTCAGGACCTCTAGAAAAGCAGTCGGTGCTCTTAACCTCTGAGCCACCTCTCCAGCTCGAGTACATATTATTTTATATATTTGTTTTGAAATAAGGTCTTTATGTATTGCCCCAGCTGCCTCGATGCTGGGGCTTAAGGTCCTGCTTATTCTATTCGTGAGTACTGGGGCTACAGGGTATGTTTTCTCCCATTTTGTGGGGGAGGGTGTATATATTATCTTTCTTCTTTTTGGTGTGAACCTTTTATTGGGGGGTGGTGGAAGGAGGCTGAGACTGACTTAGTCTGACTTTGAATTCTAGATCTTCCTGCTTCTGCATCTCAAATGCTGGGATTACAGGTATGTGCCACTATGGCCAGTTTCATAGTATCTATCTAGTCAAAAAGTTAAGTCAAGTCCCCTGATACTTAAGACAATAGGGGATGCTGTAACCACGCCTGCTTAGGGACTGGCTACAGCAGCCCCTACACAATACTGAAAAGTCCTGGAATATACCCAATGAACCCAAGTTGAACAACAATATATAAGTTAGGTGTGGTGATGTGTGACTGTAATCCCAGTACCTGAGAGGTTGAGGCACACAGACATAAGCATGTACTTATAACACACAACTAGATAATAAGACCCTGTCTAAAGCTAAAAAGTTTAAAAAGGAGGGGGTGCTGGCAATACAGCCCCAATGCCTGTGCAGAGGAGTAGTAGAGTACCTGCCAGCCTGTGCCAGGTCCTAAATTCAGCCCCACTGTCCAGGAAAACAAATATAACCAATATTCCATAGAGAACAGCATAATTTCCCCAGAAGCTTGTTTGTGCATATTAAACAAAATCATCTAAGTAGTCCCCACCCCCAGTAATTCTTTAAAACATTTCCCAGAAAAAGTAGAAAATGAAACGGTGCACTGTTGCTTTGGGTACTCACTCTTTCAGACTGTCTGACCGCCTCCTGTCTCTTCCCCATGATGAACTTCGACTTCGAGATCTCCTCTGGCTGGGGCTTCTGGATCTCCTGTGGTCACTTGGGGAGCACAGGTGCCGTTCTTTTGACTTCATTTGGCCTGGTGCTAGAATATGAAGAATAAGGCTTCTAACAGT